TCTCATACCAGAGGGATCCCATGAGCTTCGAACGAAAGCGCTTCGTGAGATTTTGATCAGAGTGCTCTCGGAGGAACGGTCACCTGATAAATAATGTTGTTGGAGATACTCGTCTAAATTTAGCACGCGCTTAGATTTCTGGAGAGACGATGTGATCACGGGACTGTTCTTTATAAGCTGTTGCGTCGTTGTCCTAGCGGGGTGTTGGCCAAGGTGACATTCCTGCAGTGCTAAGTGGTGAGTGGTGCCCCTCCTCACCCACTCCCACCACACACACACACACACACACACACACACACACATGCAGAAAACTCCTTGGACACAAGGGTGGCTGGAATGTCTGTGTTTCTCCTGAACCTCTCGCAGACTGGCACCGGCCTCAACTTAAGAGCCGCCTCTCCCTCTCCCCACCTTCTGGGAATGTCCTAACTGGGAACACAGAGGGCAGTATGTGTGTGTGTGTGTGTGTGTGTGTGTGTGTGTGTGTGTGTGTGTGTGTGTGTGTGTGTGTGTGTGAGTGTGTGTGTGGGTGTGTGTGTGTGTGTGTGTGTACCGAGAAATATCTCAGTATCCTCAACCACATGACGCATCATCTGCATCTGATTTCTGTTATCAGGATGGGAATCTCATCTCCCAGGGCCAATTTCTTTCCCAGTTGCTCTCTTGATAAGAACCTTCATGTGCCGACATCTAAGCACGGTCCACATTGTAGCATTTGAGATGGCGACACACTGCCCACAAATAAGGCCAAGCCTGCCTGAAAGCTAACTCAGACATAATGCAGAGGCTTTTCACATTAGCTCAGGTGAGTGTGGTTCTTTGACCCCAGGTCAACAAGAGTCAAAGGTGACGGGATAATCTGCGACTGTGGGAGTGTCAGACCTCATCCTACAGAGGCTTATTAGTAAGGGATGCTAACCCTAAAGGGGGGGTGGCTGGGACAGGCCTACACCAGGGGCTATGTGATAGCATTCTCGCCCATATTATTTTACGCCTGTCCACTCCCATTTGTTATCCTGTGGGAATGAGATAAGAACCTGAGGGATTATCATCTTAGCTGGAAGTCTTCTCCAACTTGTAGCGGATGGAAAAGACAGAAAAAGCATTTCAGAAACAAAAGTTAGTCTCTCATACATGTTCACACACACATATAAACTACGATACCGCAGAAAGAAATAATAAAATGTGATAGATTGCTTAGCATCTAAGAGAGCTATAGTCTTCCTCCGTGGAAGAGAAGCCCTCTTTTGTGCTTCTCCCAGTTACAGCTGTCATATCACATTTTTCTCAACTGCTTAATAAACTGCCTTAAAAACCTGCAGGCCTCTGTGACCAATACACAGTTTACGGCTGTTTGGGGTTCACATTTACATAAACTGCATGCCACAACTCACCATGGTTTACTCTCAGAGGAAAGGAAGAGCAATGCATTGTTATTTAGGCTTCTTACATCTTTACATCTCTCTCTCTAAACATTCGTATGATGGTGGAAAAACACCTTTTGACTGTTAAGTTACGGTGCCAACAGTCGTCATGGAGCCACCATCTCAGTTCCTCCAGGTGAAGACTCGTTGGCTTGCTGCACCCACTTTGCAGCTCTTGGCAAGTTTACCCAGAAAAAGCCGGACACCTTTTTACCAATTTCCTAGAGGAAGCAGTTGGAGACACTCAAGTGACCCCAACCGTGAGTGTCACGGCACGTTGCTGCAATTGAACCCCCTCTCATCCCCCATCCCGACTCTAAATGCCCTTAGCAGCAGCAGCAGCAGCGATGCTGCGATGGAGGGCGGCCATATTGGAGGTCCCTTTTTATTGTATAGGAGAAATAATAGGCTTAGGATCTTTCTATTCATATTTTTTTCAGGGAGAGTGAAAGAGGAGAGGCGGTGAGGATTGAGAAGAAAATGTTCCATTTGGAATTTCATATCCAGGCTTGGCCGGCCCTTCTAAAGAACCCCTCAGATGTGGTTTTAAGAGAAATTCATTGTGCGGAACTGGAGCTGGCAGGAAGCCCTCCATGGAGGAGACACTCCAGTGTGTTTCAGTACGGGGAGCCAGTGACTTGGCGTGCATTCTGAAAATGGGGGCGGGGGTAAGGGATATGGGACGTTTCGTTTTTTGTTCCTTTATTGTTTTTTCAGAGGGAGGATTTTTCTGACGGCACGCCTGTTTCTCTGAACTTGTATTCCGTCAGATTCCACCAGCATCCTGCCATGGTTTTTCGGAGTGCGAGCGTGCGCGTGTTTGTACATTTGTGGTATATTGCCTTTTTAGCATCTCTCTCCCTCCCTCTCCTCGCACAGCACGGCTTTTGTCCTCCACTCAATTATACCACTTCTGCGGAGAAGAGTGGAAAAAAGGGAAAGCGGGAATGTTATAATAATCACTTCCCATTTCTGTAATTTATATGCAATGAGGACTTTTCGCGCCTGCAGCTACAATCAAGTGTGTGGAAACCATATGAGGTTGTTTCACAAACAGCTGGGGAGATGGCAGCTCAAGTGCTGGCTGTGGATTCCCATCATGCTAAATCTTTCCACTAAGATGCCCATCTCACCCCAAAATCACAACCTCACCTACTCACAGGATCCGCAAAGGAAGTGAACAGAGGAAAGAATCAAAAGACGAAGCAATAAATCATCCTGTGATTACAATCAGTTTTCATCAAGAGTTTGCTGTAAAATTTCCAATAAAATGATGATTGCCATCACCTGAGGGAATGGTTTAAAATAACTGTGAATCACTGGGAGAGAGCACACCCACCACTGGCTGTTTAAATACAGTCTTTGGCTACTGTATCCACTGACAATGTGATCATTGTAGCTCCCTCCTCCTCCCCCCCTTTTACCAAAATCAGTGGAGACCAACCTGAGGAAGCTTAAATAAATAACCAATTACCATTCACAGAGCGGGTTGAACCCCACCAGCTTCAAGTGGAGTGCTAAAAATGGAATGTTTTATTGGCAGGATGGCGCCCTCGGCCAGGGGGGCTTAATGTAACGAAACCCAATTAATGGAAAAGAAAGCTGGGCCGCCAGCAAGCGAAGGAGCGCCACGCGCCCGGGGTAATGAGACGAACAAGCGAAGCCAACCACGGGGACAGGAGCGGAGGAGGCTACGAATAACAGGAAAATCCTACCCTGGAGAGACATTTACATCTGTGATACCCCCCCACTACCACCCTCCCAATCTCTCCTTCTCTCCTCTTCCTTTAGTTCAACCAGAAACCTCGCGTGCTACTCCCGAGTCCAAAAGTTGAACCGACGCTGCGACACCGAAGTGCAAGGCTAGTTGGTAAAAATGGGAATAAAAGGTATAAATCATCATAAATCACAAAGTAGAAGTAGGATGGTGTTTGGTAGATGACAAAAATAGGCATGTACCACATGTGCAGCACTATGGTTTTAGTAGCTAAGTTGCGGCGCAAATTTATCATGCGAGGAAACTTGTCACGCTGTCCTCTAAATACCACCAACACACCCGTGCAAGCCACATGTCAAACACTTCACATTAACTGCACGTGACCGACACATGCCACGGTGTTAACGTGAAATCCACACAGAACTCGACTGAAAGAGGGCACATAGACATGCTGTAAAATACGGTCATGGTACACGGGTAAGAGATCAGAGACGGCAACAACCACACGCTTAATGAATTTAACTCACACATGTTACATGTGAACACAAAGCCACTATTAACAGCTGACTGTCTCCTTTCCCACCGCCACCGCCATGCACAACTGAATAGGACGAGGTGGATTACCCATCATCCTTCAGTTGGCATGAAGAGCGTGTGCTCCAAGCGAACCAATCACCCTATAGCTCTCATGCTGGATGTGCAAAGGAGATAATTTGTGTGAAATATGCCTGCCCCAGATGAAAAGACTTTATCCGCTTTTTAAAGTGTTCAACTCTTAATTTCTATATGTCGCGGAGCTATTAAAAAACTGAGGAGAAGAGCAACAGAACATTAGGAATGATCCAGTTGCTGTTAAGATACAGCAAGTTAAGTAGGAACAGCAAATCACTATGACATCGGGTTTGTTCTTCAAGAGTTCAGGCTTTTAAAAAAAGATGGTGAAGGCTGGAAGCTGCAGTGTAGGGCTGGGTAAGAGTTTAGTCATTTTCTATATAGAACTGTGGTGAAATCATGTTGCAGCTTGTATACGGTCTAATGTAGTGCCACTGCTTTACAAAAACACTCAGGTTTTTATGTGAATTGTAACAAAGACCAAAGAAATGGAT